AGCACGAGGCTGCATGCACAGTCACAGGGAGCACTGACCTTCATAAGTCAGTGTGCCAAAAGACATCATCCTGTGTACTTTTGGAGCTATGCAACTGATGCTATTTTAACCACGTGTGTTGCCATGTCTGCTATTTCATCATTGACAGCAGGTTAGAACAAAGAGCAAATGTGAAATTACTTTAACACTCACCCAAAAAACTAAAGACAACTCTGAACTTGTTCCCTACACTAAAATGTAGTCTAACCCCATCCTTTAAAACATATCCCCTATACTCTTACCCTCTTCCCTAACACTTAAAAGAGAAGTGCAGGAATCTAAAAAAAAACATTGGTCTGATCAGGGCTGTGGATAATGGGGTACCACCAGTCCTCCTGTACGGGGCCCAGGCCAGCAGGGGGGCCCAGGCAGCTGGGTGAATCGGATGTGGGCAACGAGGGTGATTGGTATAGGAGGGGGCAAATAACTATAACCGATCCCCTGTATGGCTCTCTCTGCAGCAGACAAAAGCTGCCTTCTTCTCCTCTCCCTCTTGCTGACTATCGGCTGCTGCAGCGGGTGTCATACAGGGGATCAGTTCCAGTAACTGCCCACCAGTATCATTCCCCCCCCCCCACAGTGCTACTGGCTTCCCTCTTCTCCTTCTCTCCAGCAGCTGCAAGCACACAATATGTCACATTTACCAGCCCCTTTCTTTTCTGAATAAACACGAGCGATTGGTACCGATCACTCACTGTGTTCTTTCATAACTGAAACATAGTAAACTGTGTTATTTATTGTTTGTTTGTTTTTTTGAGCGGGGGCCCTGTCAGGTTGGCTGTATGGGTCCCTGTGGTTTCTAACAGCAGCCCTGGGTCTGATACTGCATTTGTCCCCTGCCGCCTCTAAGTCCAAGAACTGAGCAATCAAATATCCCACAGCTCTCAGTCTTCAGTGAGCAGACAGCCAGTGACTGCTCTGCTCCTCCAGGGCTCACTGGAGCGCCGGGCTGTGGAGAGGGCAGGAGTGGCTGGCTCAGGCTCTCAGTGGCATGCTGAGAGGCTAAGCCAGCTGCTGGTCATGCATCTGGGTGGGATCCCAACATTAAAGTTGGGATCCCTCCAGAGCCTGGCCTGGCTGAGTGACTTCACAGGAGTAGTCACAGGACTGTAGAGGAAGATGTAAGACTGAGCTAGGAAATAAGAAAGTAATTTTCCTGGCAGTGCGATGTTGCAGAGGTGTGTGAATCATAAGACTAGAATTACAAATCCTATACCTGCCTAGACAGTTTACATATGTGGATTTCAACTGTGAATATTATTATTATTATTACTTCGAGTTTATATAGCGCCAAAGGGTTTGCTCAGCGCTGTACAATAGAGGGGGGGACAATACATGGCACAGTACAACAACAACAGACAACGTACGAGGGGTAAGAGGGCCCTACTCTTTCGAGCTTACAATCTAGCTGTAGGCCTAAAGTATCACATTATCGAAAAGTACACTGTAACTTACCTGTATTATTGTAAAAATTACAGAGAGACAGGGAAGATCTGTGTGGTAAACAAACTGTTGAAATTGGAATCTTTGTTTCCAATGAGAATAACACAATATGCCAAAGTAGCTTTAAAGTTCGTAAATTAAAATATAACCACAGCACCCATAGCAAATACATATTAGCATGATTGACTTATGTTCATATAAGTGAAGTAAAGAATTACTGATTTTTCTTGAACAAGGTAAATATATTTGAATAAGTGACCATACCAGAGGGTATCTTATCAGAGAATACAAGATAAAGGTATTACATGACATAATATACCCTTCTTTCCTCATAGTACAAAAAAGGTGACAACCTAGAGGGGTACTTGTCTGTTAATTCACTGGATTATTTTTTATATTTATATATATATATATATATATATATATATATATATATATATATATAAGAATATATTTTTTTTTATATATATTTAAATAAAACATATAGAAAAAAAAAAAAAAAAAATATATATATATATATATATATATATATATATATATATATATATAATGAAAATAAATCTGGTGAATTAACAGACAAGTACCCCTAGAGGTACATTTCTTCTATCATGCAGCTTTGCTGGAATATTTCAATTTTTTAACAAACCTTTTCTTTGGAAATTACATTACAGAGCATATGATCAAGGCACAACCTTACTACATATCCTCCGAAGGGTGCCTTTCAAATTAAATCCAAAAGATACAGGAAGCACCGCTAGGATCAAAAGGATCTTACCGCCCAATATGGTGACCTTTCAAACAGGTAATAATCAAAAACATCTGATAGCTTCAAGGATGCTTCTGTCGTGAGAACATCTGGTCTTACTATTGTTAGAATGTAGACAGAAGCGTACAAGGTCCCAACACACTGAATTGTGTAGAAAACTTCTCCCTGATCATCTATTCTAGAGACATAGATAGGAACCTTACCTCTGGCACACATCAAGGCTTATCATGGCCATTGACCAATGGCTCAACAGAGTCCAGATCTTACCTAGCTGGCAGGCAGACAGCAGAGAAACAGCAGCAAGCAGCTCAATGTCCGCAGCCATGTTGCTAGTATGAAAGAGCTAAAGAGAGTAAAGGGGAGATCAGCCTCACAGCTAGCACTACACACTAGAGCACGCCTACCTCATCCGTGTATGCTACACATTAACTCTTGCAGTGCTGACAAATTCTAGAGCTTGCTCTTTGCTGTAAAGATTAGAAAAGCATAGACACTGTCAATCAAAAAGTTAAAAAGAAAACATTTTCTAATGTACATTGACAATGTTGTATTACACTATACTGTATATTATAAGACATATACTCCAAAGATATGCTGATAGGTTAATTGGCCTCCGTCTAAATTTGCCCTCTTATTATACAAGATTTTTACAGAAATATTATCACTCTTTCTTGGGTTATAGAAGAATGTTTTACTTTGGAGCGTATTTATAAAGCAATGAATAAAGCAGTAAATCTGATTTTCACCCGACATTTACTGCACGTGAATCTGCCAGGTGCATGTACACTGCTCACAAAAATTAAAGGAACACTTTGAAAACACAGATCAAAACAGAAAACAAATCAGATTTCAATGGGGAAAACATATCATGCTGGATATTTATACTGATATGGACTGGGTAATGTGTTAGGAATGGAAGGATGCCCCATCATTTGATGGAAATGAAAATTGTCAACCTACAGAAGATTAAATTCAAAGACACCCTGAAAAAAAAGAGAGAAAAAATTATGCAGCAGGCTAATCTGCTTTGCTCATAATTCATTGCAGCAACTCAGAATGGTACTCAGTAGTTTGTATGGCCCCCGCGTGCTTGTATGCATGCCTGACAACGTCGGGACATGCTCCTAATGAGACAATGCATAGTGTCCTGGGGTATTTCCTCCCAGATCTGGACCAGAGCATCACTGAGCTCCTGGACAGTCTGAGGTGCAACCGGGCGACATCGGATGGACTGAAACATGATATCCCAGAGGTGATCTATTGGTATCAGTTCCTTCATCCTCCAGGAACTGCCTGCATACTCTCGCCACATGAGGCCCGGCATTGTCTTTCATCAGGAGGAACCCAGGACCCACTGCACCAGCGTAGGGTCTGACAATGGGTCCAAGGATTTCAATCCGATACCTAATGGCAGTCAGGGTGCCATTGTCTAGCCTGTAGAGGTCTGTGCGTCCCTCCATGGATATGCCTCCCCAGACCATCACTGACCCACCACCAAAACGGTCATGCTGAACAATGTTACAGGCAGCATAATGTTCTCCACGGCTTCTCCAGTCCCTTTCACATCTGTCACATGTGCTCAGGGTGAACCTGCTCTCATCTGTGAAAAGCACAGGGTGCAAGTGGCGGACCTGCCAATTCTGGTGTTCAATGGCAAATGCCATTCGAGCTCTATACGTCCAGCTGATGGGTTATGGACCTTGTACGGCCCTGTCCAGCTCTCCTAGAGTAACTGCATGTCTCCTGGAATCTCCTCTATGCTCTTGAGACTGTTCTGGGGGACACAGCAAATCTTCTGGCAATGACACGTATTGATGTGCCATCCTGGAGGAGTTGGATTGCCTGGTGAACCTCTGTAGGTTCCAGGTATCACCTCCTGCTACCAGTAGTGACACTGACCCTAGCCACATGCAAAACTAGTCAAAAACAGTCAGAAAAGATGAGTAGAGAAACAAATGTCAGAGGCCTCCACCTGTAAAACCATTCCTGTTTTGGGAGTCGTCTCATTGTTGCCCATCTAGTTCACCTATTGTTTATTTCATTAACATCAAAGCAGCTGAAACTGATTAACAACCCCCTCTGCTACTTAACTGACCAGATCAATATCCCAGGAGTTTAATTGACTTGATGCTATACTCTGAATAACCACCTCCCGCCTGCCATATAGTCCAATGACAGGCGCAAGGTGGTTCTCTCGTTCTGGGAGGACGTCATATGACGTTCTCCCATTCTCAAATAAAAGTAGTAGTCCCCCTGCACTCCACTGGTAATGATATAAACAATAGTAATAAATGCAAGCTGCTATCACCTAATACCTTATACCTGTTTCCCATATGCTGTGGGTGTACTGCAGGTGCCTGGGTGTCCAAAGATGGCATCTACCAGAAGTGCGTCAACTGGAAATACGTCACTGCGCAGTAGAGAGTGCTATATTATTCCTTCATCCTTCTTTTACCCCGCTGAGGTCCCCTTTTTGCACTACAATTATAGGTCACTCATTGATTGCACTTTATTACCGGATATTCTCTATTGTCAAGCATGATATAGAAGCACCATTCTGAATTTTTCATGTACATGCATGGTCTGCCTTTTGTTTGTGATTTAAACATTGGTATATAAGATTGTGTTATTTACTTGTTGTTAGTTGTGTATGTGTAGCGTTTCACCAACATTTGAATCTATTGTTCTCCCATTCTCACCGCGCATGTGCGGCTCAGGGAGCGCGCAGCACGGCGATCGGCAGTGCGCTGTGTCCCTCGGACACAGCGGATCACCGATCCATGGAAAGAGCCAAAGATGTCGGCTCAGTCATGTGATCAGCTGTGTCCAATCACAGCTGATCACATGTAAACAGGGAAATGCTGGTTATCGGCATTTCTCTCCTCACCAGCTGTCACGCTGACAGCTCAAGAGGAGAGGAGAGCCGGTAATCGGCATTCCGCGGAGGGGACATCTACACTGCTCATCAGGGCACTGATGGTCAGTGTGCCCTGATGATCAGTGTAGCCCCAGCAGTGCCACCTGTCAGTGTCCATGAGTGCCAGCTGTCAGTGCTCATCAGTGCCACGTGCCAGTGCCCATCAGTGCCACATCAATACCACATATCAGTGCCTACCAGTGCACATCAATGCCACATATCAGTGCCCATCTGAGCTGCCTTTCAGTGTCACCCATCAGTGCCAATCAGTGCCACCTATCAATGCCAATTAGTGCCACCTATCAGTGCTGCCAATCAGTGCCGCCTATCAGTGCCCGTCAGTGCCGCTTATCAGTGCCAGTCAGTGCCACCTAACAGTGCCAGTCAGTGCCGCCTATCAGTGCCACCTATCAGTGCCATAAATCAGTGCTGCCTTTCAGTGCCCATCAGTGATGCCTGTCAATGCCCATCAGTGCCACCTACCAGTGCTTCCTCATCAGTGCCACCTATCAGTGTCCATCAGTGCAGCCTCATTAGTGCACATCAGTGAAGGAGAAAAATCACTTATTTACAAAATTTTATAACAAAAACTAAGAAAAAACTTTTTTTTTTTAAATTTTCAGTGGTTTTTGGTTTGTTTAAGCAAAAATAAAAAACTCAGCATTGATTAAATACCACCAAAATAAAGCTCTATCTGTCTCAAAAAAATGATAAAAATTTCATACGGGTACAGTGTTGCATGACCGCGCAATTGTCATTCCAAGTGTGACAGCGCTGAAAGCTGGAAATTGGCCTGGGCAGGAAGGGAGTATAAGTACCCTGTAGGCTTGTGGTTAAAAAGTGCTCCTTTAATTTTTTTGAGCAGTGTATTTTTGATGATAGTGACTGATTCACCACCAGTGATTATTTGGTTAAAGTCACATTCACTGTTTTATAAATACATTCCCTTTGTGTGGCAAAAAGATAAAAACAGGAAAAACCAAAATATTAATTTGTTTATGTGGATCTTTTTGCAATGTCATTTCTATTACTTCTAGCTGCATTCTCACAAAATACAAATAGCTAACTTTTTGTTGCTCAGCTAAAAAAAATGAATTTTAATAATAATACAATGAAAGAGCTAGTATAAAAACATTTTGATGAAAAATAAATAAGTTGTCTATAAATACTAGACTTCCAGAATCTACCAATCTATCTGGTGCTTGCAAAATCCCTACTATGACTTCCAAAACTCCCTAAAAGGGAGCTGGGTGTGCTCGCTGACCCAAAGGGTATTTAAGCATCAGCTCTGGAAGTATCTGGTGCTGTTTTTTCCTTATCAATCACCCCTTGTTACAAAGGGCTATAATAATTATCCATGTGATTTCCAGACCTTTGCTTACCCAGGCTGACCTGATTACCCAGTTGGCTTTACTGCTACATGGCAGCTGCAGAATCATGTATATAATGTGATTCTGCACTTGCTGGTTGGGCGTGTGCGTGTCCCTGGCATGCTGCTTCTGCTGTGATTAGTCACAGCACCTGGATAGAAAACTGGTTACAAGAGTGCGTCCAGGGTGTGGTGATATAGCGTATCTTCTGAATGGTCTGGAGTTGTAAGTGGGGTACTCCAGGGTTCTGTCCTGGGGTGAATTCTGTTTGACTTGTTCATAAAGGATATTGAGGCTGGTATAAATAGCTCAATCTCAGTGTTTGCTGATGATACAAAGCTAAGCAGGGTAATAACTTCACAACAGGATATAACAACTTTACAAGAAGACTGTGATAAAATAAAGGGGTGGGCAACTACATGGCAAATGAGGTTTAATATTGAAAAAGATACAGTATTGCATTTGGGGATTAAATGAATTATTATATGAATGCAAATTAGATTGACTTCAACTCCCAAGGGGGAGAACCTCTGGGAGTAATCGAGGATGGAAAAGGATCTTGGAGTTCTAGTAAATCGCAGGTTTAGCAATAGCATGCAATGGAAAGCTACAGAAAGCAAGGCTAGCAGACTATTAGCATGCGTTAAAAAGGATATTTTCTCAGGAGATAAGATTGCTATATAATTCTACCACTTTACTTCGTCTGGAGGAAAAGAAATTTCATCTCCAAACACAGAAAGGTTTCTTCACAGTGAGAGCTGTGAAAATGTGGAATAGACTCCCTCAAGAGTTGGTTCTGGCCAGCTCAGTGGATTGCTTATAAAAAGGCCTGGATTCTTTCTTAGATACACAGAATATAACTGGATACTAACATTTATAGGTAAAGTTGATCCGGGGAATATCCAATTGCCTCTCAGGGGATCAGGAAGGAATTTTTTTCCCAGCAGGAGAAAATTGGATCATGCTTTGCTGGGTTTTTTTTTGCCTTCCTCTGGATCAACTGTGGGTATAGGATTATAACTTTTTTGTTTTCTATGGTTGAACTGGATGGATTTTTGTCTTTTTTCAGCCAGACTAACTATATAACTATGTTTAAAAAACTCTGGTCTGGCAGCATCTTGAGTATCCTACCCACTTTGATGACCAGACCTCAGGAAGAATGTGCTGGAACTGGGGAGAGTACAGAGACGGACAACAAAGCTAATAAGGAGACAAGAAGACCTCAGTTATGAGGAGAGACTACAATCCATAAACGTACTCTCCTTGGAGAAGAGACAGTTAAAAGAAGATATGATCACAATATACAAATACTACATCTAAATGGTGATTCTAGCATACTGAGAAAACTATTTCATTTTAAGTCTCTTAAGAAGGCATGTGGCCCTCAATGAAGTTGGAGGAGAAGTGGTTTAGCCTTAACCACTTCAAGTCCAGACACTTTCACCCCCTTCCAGTCCAGGCCAATTTTCAGCTTTCAGTGCTGTCACACTGTACCCATATGAAATTTATAGCATTTGTTTGAGACAGATAAAGCTTTATTTTGGTGGTATTTATTCACCACTGGGATTTTTATTTTTTTTTTGCTATATAAATGAAAAAGTCCCAAAAAAAATTTTAAAAATTGTTTTTTTTAGTATAAAATTTTGCAAATAAATAATCTTTCTTCATAAATCTTGGCCAAAATGTATTCATCTATCTTTTTAGTAAAAAGCCACAGCTTGTCACATGGTACAAGGCTGTTGTGAATAGCCTTGTACCATGTGACCTCTGTGATCATTTACATATTTCACAAGTAGTAAGCAATGATGTCAGGAAGTGACATCTTGTTTACTACTGTTCATGTGATCACTGATTGGCCAATCAGTGATCACATGATTCAGGACCTCACACAGAGGTCCCATACAGCGATCTGTTTTCTGCTGTGTCTGGAGGACACAGTGGGCACCAACTGCAGTACCGCACGCTCCCAGGGAGCATGCCCAGGCAATGAATGCAGGGGTATGGTTAGAAACATCCGCCCGCATCGGCAGCGCTCCCGTCCGGCTGTTTATCTACATGGGCCAGACAGGAAGTGGTTAAACTGCATAAAGGGTTCTTTACTGTTAAAGCAGTAAGGATGTGGAATGCCCTTCCACAGTTGCTGGAGTCAGCAGGGAGTGTTGATAAATTAAAAAAATGTAGATGTGTTTCTTAGCGAATGAAATATACAGGGATATTGGAAATGGTAGTGGCATAAACACTACCATTGGTGTTTTCATTCAACCTTACCAACTATGTAACAGGCATTTTCTGTAATTGCTGAAAATGTTCTTAGCTTAATAAAACAAACTAATGCAATCACCACATCTAAGGACTGTAAGCTGCAATATATTACAATTTTGTCTTGGGTTTACAGTAAAATAAAGCCTTTAAAAATATAGCCAACTCCAGGATTTTAGCAATCCTCCTTCTCACTCTTCTCTAACTGATGGTATGAAAAAAAAAACTATCCCAATGCCCATTTTACTTACCAGGAGCCACAGTCACATGTTGAGCCCTCACTCTTATTCTGTTTTCTTTCTTGGGTCCTTCTTCGGGTGTCCAGACCATTGCTTGAAAAATGTGTACATTTCTTGTTGGTGAAGGTGACACTTTCAACGTCTGGGTCCTTTCTCATAGGCTCCTGAGGCCAGGTAATTCAAGGGGCGGTGGAGGGACCATTGCCCAAGGTGATGAAGAGCAGGGAAAAATGTCTTACCCCAGGGCAGGAAAAAAAAAGTTTGGTTCATAGAGGAAACTGATTTCGAGTCATTCTACCACATGGTGACTTAGGAAGAGGTGTATGGAATCAAGACTGAAGAGTAAGGTAATTGTTGAACAATGCACTAATATCATTTCATCTTTGCCTGGAGTTGGGCTTTAAATACTTTTTTCGATTGCTACATGTTGTTGGTAAAAAGAACACCTGTAAACATGATTGTTTTGTCTGTGTACTGGTTCCCTTGGGGTGCTAGGTAGCCTGTCATGCGCATTGCCTGGAATGGCTATAGTTAGGTCTTTGGATACAGCTAAAATTTGTATCACCTTAGACATAGCAGCATGCATGCTGCATAAAAATTCCAAGGGTTTTAGCAGGAAGGGTTGGCTTTACTGAGAACAGTATGATGTCTAGAAGATGATAAATCCAGGCTTGATGATGGATAAAAATTAAGTGAAATTGAAAGTCCCTTCTCAAAAACAATTTACTGCAGCCCAGACTATCACAGGAACCATACAAATGAAATATCACATACACTATCACCCAGGGGCAGCATCCAACTTGCTTAAACCAGCAGCTGCAGTGAACTCTAGATCATGTTGATGATATAGACAAAAAGTGCAGAGCAGGCAGTAGTAATACACATCACCTTGACTGCAGGAAGAGTGAAACACAGAAATAAGTGCTTAGTAAGGCTGTTTCCTTTTCCGTTAAAGAAACACACCGAAAATATGGGTCTGTCTTTTAAAGAACAGCTTCTACACAATTCTGCATTTTGGTTATGTGAGGATGCAATATGCCGCAGTTGCTGTTAGGATTCCCAAAGACCTGGGTGAACATAGATACGGAACAATTCAAGCACGTGTGACATACCATAGCAGATAAAGTACTTGCTGAAAATATAAACAGGGTTTTGAGAGCACAGTGAAAATACCTAAACTACTAAGTTTACATACTTTAGTCGATTTATTTGATTTATTCCTATAACAACGTGCTCTAAAATATTCTACTATATAGTTGTAAGCCGTGTACCGGGTGGGCTCCCCAGGATACAGTGAAGTCACGAACGAGGAAAGCAACCCCAACACCAGCTTTTGCCACAACAGAATTTTACTTAGATGTGGTAAAAAAAACATAACCACAAATACTGAAAACATACAATAAATTTACAAACACCCAGCCCAAAGGCTGAGACCCTTGTGCTGCACAGC